CCGCTTGCCAATCGTCTGCTCGTAGAAGGCGCAGTGTTTGGTGGCGTCGACGCCATAGACTAAACCAAGGAGTCTCGTATTAAAGTCCTAACAATAAGGCGTTACCATGATTGAAGATAGAATAATCACAATCGACGCGTCCTCTAGTATTTACGCCCAGCTGCAGCCACTGCGACTTGTACTGGGTAGCCACCGCCGCGCCGGAATCCCCCTAAAAGCCGTGTCCTTGTGAGCTGCTTTAAAAACCATATTCAAGCCGGGTTTCCACGTATTGAAGACTCACGTGGCTCGGACCGGCGTTATATCGACGGCTGGAGAGATAGCAAATGCTCGGGCCAGACAGCGAGCCTCTGATGCTACACTCTTGAAGAGGTCGACCTTTGGCTTGATACATGCGCAGATCCTCGCTCATCAGTTCTGCAAAAGGGATATGAACTCGAAATAAATAAAATAAGTTCCTATAAATTTTTAGATACTCTAAACTTTTTAGCGACTTAACCAGAGCTCTCAAACCTACTTTTTTTACCGAGACGCCCCCAGCCGGCAATATCGAGTGTGAGAAGGATCGTCCCAGGCTCGGAAATTCTCCGGGATGCGAATCTGCTGCCGGCGCATCGTATAATCGAAGGGCCGACTGAGCTGAAAGAAAACGGGCGGTGTTTAGGTATCTCGCTGTTGTCATTTCGACCCATCTATAGATTCGACCCACATTACTCATAAATCCATTAAACCTAGACCCACTACGCATAAACATAAAAGTAACAAGGGACTATATTTTAAATTTTTTTCGATGCTTTAGTTAAAATGCAAAAATATGGTCAATATCCTGGCAGTGAAATACCTTCAGTAAGGCGATGTCATTCGCGTAGCCCTGAGCGTTCCCCGGATTGCGATAAAAGTCGGGATGCAGATGGATGCTGGCCAATTTGATTATTGCCTAAAGAAGTCAGTCGATAGGTAGAAAAATTTTTAAAGCATAAAGAAATCTAGAGCTTAATCCAGAAATTCTGGATGCATCTGTTCAAAAAAACCAATAATTCTTCTTTTACCACATCACGATCCGGTGATCCAAAAGGTGTCAGGTGATCAGCGCCGGCAAAAATCCAGAATAGCTCTGGGGAAAGCCTGAAAGCGTCAATTTGGTTTTTGGTTTAATACCGTAAAAAATTTTTAATTTGATGGGCAAATTCTAGCAAACCTTAGTAAAAACTAACGCTTCTCGGGTTGCATTTTCATTAGCGACGCAGTGTCCGGCAGTCAAGATCCATTCTTGATTCATTATCGAGCCCATGCATTCGTGTATCCATTGGCTCAAAAGGGCGAAATAAGAATTTTGCTTAGGCTTAGGCTTAGGCTTAGAATTAAGCTTAAGCTTAAACTCAGACATATGTCTAAGCTTACAACAAGACCTAAAAAACCTACTTCCCAATATAGCGTCGTAGTGCCACCGAATATGCATATCTCTGAATGCCGACCCCGACGCCGCCCACGATGGTATTTAATTTGAAATTTTTACATAACTGAGGTCTGCCATACCTCCACCAAAACACCGTATTGTAGCGCTAAAAATACAGAAAATAGCAGCCCGGGCGGCATCATTTCAAATAATGATGGCAAGGCCGTTCAGATTTAATAAAAGTTGTTCGGCATGAATAATTCATAAAATCGCGTCAGGTTTGTTTTTAATCAAAAAGTGGGAAAGATGTATAAATAGTTTTTTTAAAAATGCTTGTTGATAGCTTTTAGAATGCGTCCTTTTTCTGATATCAGCCAATCCGAAAAATACATATTGTGTTTTGTCAGAAGTATGCATACCATTATACCATTGCACTTCCCTTTGAAGGGAAGAAATGTATGTCAGCGATTTCAACAACTTTATTCCTACGCAAAATCTTTAAAATCTGATTTTGACGCAGGGAGCATGTGTGATCGGCTCCAGCCAGTCGCAAAATTGAGACAGGTCGACGGCAAGGGCTAAAAGAGAGTACTATAAGCGGCAGAGAGCGGAGGGAGAGAGAGAGAGAGAGAGAGAGAGAGAGAGAGAGAGAGAGATACCTGGCTGCTGCTTACGATAGCTACAATTCATCTCAATATTCGAAACGAGCCCAATCTGGTACCAGTAGCTATGCATTTTCAGCAGAACGGGACCACCGAAATCTCCCTAAAAATAGAGAAGCTTTTGAAATCCCTTGATTGGAAAACTCACGTCACAAGGCCCATGCTTCTTCTCTACGCCCGCAAAACAAAAAACAGTCTCGTCAAATTTCATGTCCGGAAACGTGGGCTGACAAGAAGTTGGGTCGACGGGATTCGCGTCCATTGAGCGAAGCTCTGGGCTCGCTCCGACTAAAATACTGCGTTTTACGGACGTCGGAATGCAACGAAACGATAAGACATCGAATGAATCACTGCAAAATCTCTTTAAAGTTAGCTAAGGATTCTAAAAACTAAAAACACACTATCCGGCGCGCTGCCGTCCGATCCCCAACCGATAGCAATTATAGGTTTCTCAATCTTCTCCCAACTGAACGGCTCGGCCACTGAGATTGGCAACGCGTTCATCCAGAATTTGATGGGACGCTCGAGCTGAAAGAGGCTTAGGCTTAGCTTATGCTTAGGCTCATGCTTAGGCGTAAGCTTAGGGTTGGCTTGGGCTTACAAAATACCTCCAGAAGTGCGACGTCATTATAAACATCTCCGGTTGGTGCGTTTCTCAGAAGATCCGGATGCAGAATAGTTCTTGCGACCATGTACGGGGTCTAAAAATCCTTTTAATAAAGATATGGGAATGCAGTACGGACATTTAAGACGTAATGTTTTTATTTAAATACCTTAAAATTGTACCGATACTAGGTAACTGACCGGTCTAATGATATTATCCTCTTCCTCGTCTTCTTCTTCTTCTCCGGCTGGCCTCTCTCTTGGCCAAAACGTAGTTCCCACAAAAACGCGTAGGCGATTTGGCGCCAACCTAAAAACTTTTTTGCTTTCCGATTCTCATATTTTACAGCTTTTTAGACTTTTAGGTATAGATGGCTCATTTTTTAAATAATCTAGTCTGGATCTGAGGCTCACTTTTCCGTCTGAACCGCCTCGTTATCCAGCACACAACGTCCTGACGTTAGAATATGATTCTGCGAAACGATTGATCCGCTGCAGGTGGTGACCCAGGTCCTGTATGATAGAAGTTGTTGATCTTATTTTATTAAGCAAATCCATATACCCATTATACGATCGCTGAATTGCCGCAGCGAAATAGTACTTTTTTACGGTTTCTGACTGGCCGTCAGTGATGCCAAACACAGGCTACAAAATAATTATAATTGAAATTTTTCAAGCTACACAAACTTGCAATATGCAGAATAACCCAAACGTAATAAAAATCAGCATATTTTTGGGAGTTTGCTAGCTAGAAAATCGCAGAAAAGAAAAAAAATTCGGTTAGACAGCTTTCAAAATTTTTATGAATAATTCACGATAGTTTTTTGGATATTAAAAAACGCAAAAATAGCTTCTGGGGATTGCAAAATTGCCATCGATATGGAGAGAAAGCGAAAGACGAGAGAAAGAGAAAGAAAACTAACTTTTATGACGTAATTTTAAACCGAGAAAACAATTAATCCCTTTATTATCTTTCTTAATTAATAATGATGTACGGAACGTCGCCGGAACCCTCTTCCGGATCATCAGGATCTCTGTTAGGCAGACAATTGATACCGTTTTCCTTGAGGAAATTGCAGTAGGGGCGCAGGTCGAGAACGACCACTAAAAGCTAGATTAGATATTTCGGCATTGTCTTACTTGGCTCATCACGCAGATAGCTGCAGGTGGATTCTGGGTGCAGCCCGACCAGCATACCCACAAGCATCGTTCTCTGCTCATGCATTATCACTACCGCACCGCCGATGTCTTCCTAAAAAATTAGTTAGGATGGAGATCACACGTAGCAGTACAGAACAGTACGCAACGATACGGAGCAGTACGGGAACGCCGGGATTGCCCCTTACTACGCAACATCGCGCTCTGGAACGCCAAACTACACTGCCACACCTGCCCATACGTAGCGATACCTTTTTCTTATCAAAAACGAAACGAGTACGCTGAAGTACGGTAAGCTGCGGCCCGGGTAGCTACAGTATCCTAGCATTCTGCATCGAAGTACGAAGACGTAGCGCACGCACCCTTCTGGCCCGCAGCTTAGGAATGCTTTGTTTCCAAAGTTTCCACACTTACGCTAAGGTAACTACCGTATCCCATAGTAGGCAGTAAGACACAGCATCCGCATACCTTACAAGACCCGGTCTGCGTCTCATTGGCCCTTATACAGTAAACCTCATCCGGGAGCTCCGTTTCAAAGAGTTCCTGGCAAACATCCTGCGGGAATAGGCCGGCCTCGTAGCCGTATAGGTTTCCGTTTTGGTTATCTAAAAGTTATTTCGATTTTCCAGGTTTTATCGAGGCTAGAAGCTGTAAATTTTTACCCGTTTGTTTAACTGGGTAACGTCATCTTCGCTACATCTTAAAATCCGTCTTAAAGGGGCCGGAAACCGTCCACGGCCCCTGCTGTGACTCCTGGCAAATAGCCCGACCGGAACGCAACCGGCCGCATCTTTTGCCCCTGTTTGACGCGAAATGTTAGAATTTAAAATTCTGATGCTATTTTTGGAATCTTCACCAAATTTTGATCATTTTAGACTTTAATTTATGAAAATTGACCAAAGAATCCCCGAGACGAGTCGGGTGCTACAACGCATTACGACATGTTATCGCCGCGCACTCAAAGTAGTTTTCGCCCCCAAAAGAATCCGGATTTTCTCAAAATTTTACGTTTTCTCGCAATGTCACTTTCTGGCACTTCTCGGCAGTGACCCTTGCGTTTTGTCCTTCCCCCCCACGCACGTTTTTTGGCTCCCGCCCTTTGAGAGCGCATTTTAGGTTGTTAAGTCACGAGGAGGCGTTTTAACAATGCAGGGAAGATAAAAAACGGGGTGGAAAAGTCACAGGTTTGAAAGTAGGCTAGTAGATGCTCTTTGGGAAGGTCTTTCGAATCCACACATACTCTCGATCTCGGTCCGGCCCCATCCCATCAACTCCAACGGCCCCTCCCAGTCATCCCATTTGAAGCGGTCCGGGATCATGATCGGGGTGACGACGTGTGAGAAGTTGGCGCCTTTCTTCACCTAAATTGGGGTTAAAGGTACTTTGAAGCCAAATCTATTGGCTTTTCTAAACGATTAGGATACAGTTTACCGTTAACAGTGCAATATCATCGTGGAAGTCGTTCTCCAGCGTCGTGCGGTCTTCGAAAAATTCAGGATGAACGATGATTTTGTCGATCCCGAATAATTCCTAAAGTATCATCTGTTTTTTCTTAAAAGTTAAAGGACTACCGCATTCCGCTCATCCGATCCCCACGGCGTTACGGTTTCGGCATTCCAGAAGACGTACATGGAGGTGTTGGGGTATCTAGATGATCAGAAAGATTTTTCAGACAGAAAATTCGATTTTTCGGCATTTAATATGTCCAAAATTTGGCTAAAAATTGAATTTTTAACTTCCTAGACCTTTAGAACCACCTACAGCTCAAAGGGCGCTTCGTCTTGCACGACACATCTTGCTGCCGTGAGCACGACAGAATCGCCGATCATCGAGCCACCACATCTTGTTTTCCAGACTCTAAATGAGGCTCTCGCGCAACACTATGCCTTCCGTCGACCTTTTCTCTCTCTCTCTCTCTCTCTCTCTCTCTCTCTCCTCTTTCTCTCTCTCTCGCTCTCCTCTTTCTCTCTCTATTTTTCGCTCTCTCTCCCTCTATCTTCCACTGTCTCTCTTTCTCTCTCTTTCTCTCTATCTCTCGCTCTCTCTCCCTCTATCTTCCACTGTCTCTCTTTCTCTCTCTTTCTCTCGATGTTCCTATAACTCACCCCTTCTTACTAACATAACGAATCGATACCGCAAATGGGTATCGATGAATGGACATTAGCTCCCCGTCATGAACCGTCTCTCCGGGCTCTAAAACCCCGAAGGCAACAAGCAAAGGTAAGAGTAGCATCGCGGAATGAATACTGTAGATATGCCCCGACTTCTCTCCCTTCTGCGTGCGATGAATTTCAATCAAAAAATTTATTTTTGTCGAAAAAGAGAAGAGGTGATGTGGCTTCGATTTTTGGGGCTTGAAATTGCTTCGATTAACGGTGGACGAAGTTGGTATCGACGCGGACGGCGTTCTTCAGGATTGTGATTTGCGGGTCTGAAAACGTGTGTTAGAGTGGCGAGAGACAGTAGAGAGTGTGGGAGAGATGAGAGTGAGAGAGAGGGAGAGGGGGGGCGAAGTACTTACTGGAAATCGCCAGCTCAGCCTCCTTAAAGATCGAATCATGATGCCACGGCGTAGAAAAACGTTGAATATGAATTCCTCCGTATTGGCGATCATGCTATCGAAGATTTTGGTGTATCTACAACGGATTTGAAAGAGCTTCAATTCTCCCGCAAAAATTTAAAGCCGATGCTCCCCTGATCTTCACGAAAATCTACTCACTTCTCGTCCATCTCTCCAATCGTCGATGCGACCTTCTTCAAGTTCACCGTAGTATTCGAGATTTGCCCAAATATTTTCGCTTCTTCAACCTTCACTTCCAGCTTTGAACTCGTCGTGAGCTCGAGCTCAGCCAATCTTGTAGAATTTTGGGTCATCGGATTCAAATAAAGGTTCAGGGCAATCACGGCTTTGAAAGCAGCGTAGGATTCCTTGAAATCGAGCTGCAAAGACTTCCGGATTTGCAACAACAGCTCGTACCTGGGGTGTTGATTTTGTGCTCGCAACCACGTCGACGAATCGCCCTTTGTATTGCTCGGCTAGGCCAGGGAAAATGGTGCCCAGGCAGACACGTCCATTGCAACTAGGACAAGATATTACCTCTCTCTCACACACTCTCTCTCTCTCTCTCTCTCTCTCTTTCTCTCTTTCTCTCTTTCTGTCTCTCGCTCTCTCTCTCCCACTCGCTCTCTCTCACGCTCGAGAAAACTCACTCCGTCTTCAAAAATCCGGAGTACTCGCTCGACATGTCCTTGCTGATCGTCTGCTTCAGAATTCCCGCGGTGTGGGCGGTATCCAAGGCACAGTCTGCCAGTTGCTCCGAAGCAAGCAACGATGCCATGTATTTTGATGCATCATCGGCTAAAGCAGCATTTTATGCGTGCTTTAATAATTACAAGTTTCCAGCAACATACTCAATGCCATCGGCTGCGCCTCTATCGAGCACTTGGCGCTTCCATGGCTCACGATGCCGTGCGCCCAGACTTCAGTGAATGCGCTGAAACATATAGAAAAGCGGTGGTTTCAAGAATTTTTCATTTCGTTATCAAATTATGTTTTTGCATTTCAGAATGAGGACCCACGGTTCATAGATCAGCTTCATAAACTCGTAGTCGAGCTGAAAGTTATTCTTCAAATCGTGCTGCATCGGGATCGAGGCGAGCTTTTCATTGATGTTTCCAATAGCTTTTTGAAGATATTTACAGGACTAAAAAGAACTTCACCATTATTTTTTAATGAATTTTAATTTAATGGATCGCCGTATTTTTTCGTAAATAGTAATTTGAATAGGAGTTTCCCAGCAACAAAAGAAAAATGTGTGAGTTTACGCTACCATCAGATCGCTCCAATCCGCCCCCGCTCGCGATATGAAATTTCTAATTTCCGATGAGCGAGAAATATGCTAAATTAACGACCCCCTGATCTCCACGTTGCTTTCGGGTCCGATAACACCTCCAGAAACATTTGCCGCATACCTCTTTATTTAGCGCATTACGAGCCAGGTCTTCGAGTGGCTTTCGGAAAATGTTGATCAGCCAGTCCAATTTACCCCGAAACCTGAATTGAAAATTTTTGTTTGTTGGTAAATGGTTGCCAACGTTAGGCGAACATGCTCAGTTCCAGCGTTGCAATTCTCGAAAAGACTTTCGGTTTTCCGCCCTCCAGCTTGATTTTGACATTGCCATCGGCGTAGATGTTCTTCAGGTCGGCGCTCACACCGCCACTGGTTGAGAACTAAAATTGATAAAACAAATTGAACGCAATAAACAATTTGGTTTTACAATTTTTCCGATCTCTCTTTTGAGGCATTCCCACCTTGATGATACGGTTCTGCCGATATTTGGCTTGATACTTGCCCCGGCCCCACAGTTCCAGGCCGCGCATCTTTATGGAAATTCCGTCAGTTGTCAGGTTGTAGTTGAAGCTTCAAAAAATTAACGACCGGATTTGGGCAAACCTCGGCGGATTCATGCCTTCCAATACCATGTTGCGAAGTTTTATTTCGCCCTTGCCTTTTTCAGCTCGAAGTCGGGGACCGGCATGTTCGGCAGGTTTTTCTGCATCTGAAGGAATTCTGTTATACATTGTGTCCTAATAAAAAACACCCCCCTCTAACTCGATGGAAACGGGTCAGATCGGAACGATCGTTTCTGATTTATCGTGGTTGCGTGCGAGCCGATATGCCTCAATTTTTCCAGGCAAAACGACCGAAGTTACGGCTAGTTAGTTGCAGAGGTCGTTCCTTAATGTTTTGAAATCCGCGATAAAATTCCTAGTCTTTATAACAACATAGTTTTGAAGATTTTTTCAAACTAACGGTTTTACAGGCTTGCGAATGGTATGATTACCATTCCGATCCGATACTTCTGCGTCGAGTTAAAGGGGCTGTTTTTGAAAGAGACATCCTGCGTTTAACAAAACCAGAAATATGAATTTTGAACAAAATTAGGGGTTTGAAGTTTAAAACAACCTTGCAACTTCACCAGTTCAGCACAGTCTCCCTTAAGAAGTCATAGCCCGGGCGATTCAACCGCAATTTCAGCGAAGGGTTGTTGGCGGGGCCTGGCGGCGTCGGTGTTTGCCCGAAGGCCAAACCAAGGATGATACAGAGAACCAGTGACTTCATCCGGAGATGTTGGCACAATATAGAGTAGTAGTACTGATGCTGTCCACTCCTCGTCTTGCCTTTTTATAAGCATCTTATCAGTCCTGTCGAGATAAGTTGTGTGCCTTTTGAATGACGCGAGATTACTGTTTACATTCGTTAGGACATGGTGAGACTTATGTTTTCGCCTTTTTACGGCCTGTTAACAATTTATCTGGACTGACTTTTGCGTTATGAGCATTAACATAAGCAGGCGATAATCCTATCAACAAGTTATGAAATTATTGCTCTGTTCATGTTTTTCTTTGTTAGCTTATTTTAGACATCTTCTGGCTTCGTGCAAACGTTTAAAGAAGCTGAGTTGGCAATCTCCAAAAAGGTGATGTTTCGAAATAACGATCTCCCTCTCTCTGCCACTCTCTCGCTCTCTTTCTCTCGTTCTTTCTTTCTTGTCCCGTTTTGTCACTCGCTTTTCTTGATAGACCATGGTAATTCAATGCATCTTATTTAATGCAACCCACGAAATACATACAATTTATGACTTAGTTGAATTAATATTGCATTATGAGACTACACAGCATGCCTTTTTCTGCCTTTCGAGCTTCTTCCGCTTCTCCTCCTCCTTCTGACGCCGTTTCCACCCCGCATCCGGGCTCTCGGTAATTCCCAGTGTTTGAAATAATTCAGCCACATCATCTACCGGCCTCGGCGGCTTTTTAGGGCCAGCTGGGACCGCTAGGGTCCGGAATCGACTTGCAGGAGTTGCCATCGGAACTGGTTGTACATAGTGACCCATCCCAATCGTTGGGTTTGGGTTATTTCCGTAAGGTTGAACATCAGGATGCGAAACTCCAGGTTGGGCGGGTTGTCCATAGTCACTCATCGGAGAGCTCTCCATGTCGCTGGAGCTGGGAGCTTGATAAACGGGATGAGGCGGTGGTTGATAGTCCATGATTGGAATTGGCTGATTGTTGTAGTTGTAGTTAGCGATTTGGGGAGCGGCTGGATCGTAGTTGCGGATGGCAGCGGAATAACCCTGAAAATACTGTATTATGACACCTGTGGGACGTTTAGGCCGAAAAGTGAGAGACCAGGGCAGAGAGAGTAAGAGAGTGAGAGTGAGAGCGTGTGAGAGAAAGCAGGTGAGAGAGAGAACAGACAGACAGAGCAATTTCGAATTCCCACCTCTAATTTTGCAATTTGCTGATCTGCAATCAAGGGAGGCAACGTAGCTCGCGCCAACTCCCTGAACTCCTTCAAAAAGTAGTCGTTCTCCAGCTGCATTAAATTCCTGATCGATTCAGCTTGTTGCCTAGAGGTTTCCGCCTCGTTTCGCAGAATGTCCAGTTGATGATGGACTTCATCGATGCTGAGGTCGAGCATGTACTGAAATTTGCAGCATAAGATGCTTTAATTTAAGCTTTAGGTTTAAATTTGCTTCTAAGAAAAAGAAAGATCAGCCCCTTGAAAAAGGTAAAAGTAAAAGGCTTTTCGATAAGAAACTGCTTTTGAATTTGTAAACAATTGTTATAGGACCGAAATAACCTTAAAAACTCACATTTCGTATCGACTTATCCTCGCACAACTGATTCATCTCAATAATTATCGTCGGCAGATCGTAGCGATCATTGCATAGATCCGAAATTGTGTATAGGTTACAGCCACCCGATCGAATTTGAGCATGAAGTCCTTGTAAAGCGCCTAACGTCGTCTGGGCCAGCACACAGCACTTTTCTACAGCAAACTCGTTGCTGAGCGGGCTGAATTAGAGATTTTTACCAAGATATGGTATTTTTATTCCTAAAAAAACAAGATGAACTTACATCTGACCCATACACTTATTTTCCGGATTCATTGATGCTTTTAGAAAATGCAAGTTTTAGCAATGAAAACGTGTAGAACAAGGCAAAATTTGTCACCGGGCCTTTGTGATAAGCCCATGGAAAGCCGAGCGATCAATAAGTGAGTGGGATGGACTAATGAGCGCTGACTTATTTGAAGCAATTGACCATAAAAGTGCGTTACTGATGATAGATAAAGCCTCTTTCAGTTATAATTAAATTGTAAGTGAATTTTTTAATTTAATATAATCTAATTTTTTTAAATAAATGTTTAATTCGAAGGCTAGTCACTACTAATGTATTACGTGCTTCAATAACTTTATTAACCTTGCAAAATGCTCATGAAATGACACATAAACCATCTTGGTGCTCATTCACTTTCTGGCGCTCGGCTCTTCTCGACAGTTCGTCAGTCTCCTTCCTGAAGCTAAGTCCTTGGAGCGCATCGGAAATTTTGTCGACTGATCCAGAAGGTGGAGAAATCATGTCAGTGTCCTCATATTTATTCGGCTTCTTCCCATCTGTCTCCCAACTCTCCTCGCTTACATCCACAATAGTGGTTATTAGTGGGGGTGATGCAGCAGTCGAAACCACGTTTGGCACGAGTTTAAAATCACCCTCCCGCTTAGCCTGCGTTTCGTCCCCGCCTTGCTGTGACAGTGCGTCCGGATTCTCCTTGGTTGGGGAAATGTGTAGCTGCTCGGAAACTTCACTAGTTGTAAAAGATGCGGAAGTGAACCATTGTTTTGTGTGTAGGAACGGACGACCATCGTGCACATTGGCCGCCCATTTGCTATGTTGTTCAACGTCACGCGGGCTTGTGCTCGCCAACTCCGGCTCTGTACTTGACAATTCCAGATCGTTGGTTGGATTCACTGTAGGTGGCGGTGAGGCGATTGCATCGCGGATTGAGGACCAAATCGGGGTTAGACAAGAGCTCAAAGACGATCTGCCGCTCGTAGAAGGGCCAGCATTCCGGCCGTCAATAAGGTGGCTCGGATGAGGCGTAAACTTGCTCCATTGCTGGACCCGATGCTCTCGTCCATTTGCAAATACACCCATTGGAATGCCTATTGTGCCAGCGAATTCATTTAATGGCTCAATAAAATCGGTCCGAGACGCTTTTGGAGTGAGTTCGGCTTCCAGGTCGATTTGGCGGGCAACTTGCGAGTAGCCCTGAAAATATAAATTACGACTTTCTAAAATCGTTAATTGTGAATTCTTAAAAAATCCTAAAATTTTTTTACCTCCAGTCGGGCAATTTGCTGCTCGGCCACTTCACGGGTGTAGGCGGTTCGAACTACGTGCTTGAATTGCTCCAAAAAGAATCCATTCTCCATCTCGAGCCGTTTTAGTTGCGTGGTCATTTGGCGCCGCTCTTTCGCAGCCTGATCATGCATTTCGTCAAGTTGACGGTAGAATTGGTCGACGCTCAGGTCCAGCATGTACTGAAGCAAAAGAAACGTATCATTAAAGAGGATTCAAAGCTAATGTTAATTAACCTCGTTGCACAGACAGTAGCTGAGCAATGGATACCAACCTTTTCAACCCCATTTACGCATGATTGTTCAATTTCTAGGAATATGGTCGAAAGTGCGTATCGCTGTCGGCATAGGTCAGAAATTGTGACGACATTTCGACCCTTGGCTCGGATTTGGTCATGCAGTGCGGCCAACAGATCATTTGTAGTTGGCGCCACCACGAAATTTTCAATTATCGAAAAATTGTTGCTGAGCGGGCTAAAATTTGGCATTGTTTGCTATGTAACTCGAAAGAATTCCGAGCGCATTCTAAAAAACACTCACATGTTGCCCAAGTGCCAGTTCTCCGGATTCATTTGGCCGCTAGAGAGTGATTGAAACCGCAGTTGGGATACATCCGCTTTGCAAAGGACAAATCGCGGTCATAAACCAAAATAACGTGCCCGTTTTTTGCGATAAACCATCCGAAATGGAATCAATAGGGCGGCCGACAAACAGATGCTTTTTAGTCAGCAGGCGCCCGCCGTCGCCGTTCTAGATATGCGCAATTATTTTTTTCAATGTAGGAGGCTTGTTTAGTAGTATCAACAAAAGACACATAATAATGGCAATGAACACGATTTATTCTTTAGTAATGCTTTCTTTTATTAAAATTTTGGAATAAGCTGTTCAATATTCAAAGGGGCTGACGTTTGTTTTCGATTCAGGAAATCACACATTTGGATTTTGTCGGAGTTTCAGCTTTCAGCTGCTCCGATTGACCCTGCCTTGTCTCCGGACGCTGCCAAACTTCCTCGTGATTTTCACTGATTCCCAGGGTTTGAAACAACTCGGTAACGCCATCATCGGATGCATCAGATGTTGAAGTTGCCTCTGTAGCACCAAAAAATCGAGCGACGCGACGAGCAAGAGCCTGGCGAATGGATGGTGAGCCACCGTGTGAATTTGTATCAGAGCCGAAAGACCATAGGCGGATATTGTGTCGGTGGGGCCGTCGGGGCGAAGGCGAAGACTTCTCGGACGGGGTTTGTGGCTCGGGCCGCTTCGCTAATTTGATATGACGTTTCCGGCCTACGGCGGTTTGTATAGGTTGTATATCATCATTGTGGTCGCCGCCCCGTGCCACAGGAGGTACAGGTTTGGCAGCGGGTACGTCTGTGGGCATAAAACTTTCGTGATTTCCTGATTCAGCACTCCATGCCGAATCTCCGCTAGAGAAAAGCGTAAAAGCCGACTGCTCTATCGCTTCCCCGGAATTTAACCAGCTTTGCCGATGATCGAATAGTTCCACATCAGCGAGTGTATTTGTTGAGATTTTTGTCCGATAGCCAGATTCGCCCGTTTCCGTTTCCGTTTCCGGTACCCAGGGCGTACAACGATTTGCTGGTGGCTGCGCGTCCTGGTCAAGTTGACGCACGACTTCGGAGTAACCCTAAAAACTATGCAAATGTGGCGCAACATCAACAAAAATCTTACCACAAGTCGGGCGATGTGCTGCTCTGCAACCAACCGCGTGCAAAAGGTTCTGACGACGTGCTTGAATTGCTCGAAACAGAACGCATTCTCCATCTCGAGCCGCTTTATCAGCGCCGAAATTTGATGCCGCTCTCTTGCAGCCTCATCCCTGACCTTGTCGAGTTGGTGAAAGAACTGATCAACGCTCAGATCAAGCATGTACTAAATTGACTACTATGCATGACGTCTGAAATATCGGTTTCCATTCATTTCGCATAATTTTCATTTCGAATACTACCATTTCGCATAATTGCATTTCGAATAATTTTTATTTCGCATAAGGCTTATTTCGTATAACGCCTATTTCCCATAACGGTGATTTCGCCTAACCGTGATTTCGCATAACGATCATTTAGCATAATTTTCATTTCACCTAACGACCATTTCGCATAATTTTGATTTCGCCTAACCGCCATTTCGCATAATTTCCGCTATTGGCAGCCGATGGTATGGATAACTTTAGCTTAGTGATCAGCAATCGATGAAAAACAATCTACCTGCGCGGCTTTTTTGCGCCCTTCCTTGCAGACATACCAAGCTTGCTCAAAACCCCACGACACATGAGGCATGCGTCCCTTACAGGGGTTTTACCAAAATCCTACGCTGTAGCTAGTATCTATGTGTAAACTAGCAAATCTGACCGCAAGTCTAGGTCAAAAACATTACATTGATTGCAGTAGCGGAATCTGCGTAAAAGGTAACTAAGTATTTGGATTGTCTTATACCGTGACTGCACTTCATGTCGTCAAAAACGCCCTGTTTTGCTCTTGGTTGGTACTCACTAAAAAAATATGCGAAATAAAGTTATGCGAGATCATCGTTAGGTGAAATAAAAATTATGCAAAATGATCGTTATGCGAAATGACGGTTAGGCGAAATAACCGCTATGCGAAATGATCGTTAGGCGAAACAGCGTTATGCGAAATAGCGTTATGCGAAATGGTAATTATGCAAGATAAAGAAATACCGAAATATCGATCCCACCTTTTCGATTCCATTTACACATGATTGTTGGATTTCAAGAATTATTGTCGGAAGAGGATAGCGTTGACGACAGAGGTCCGAAATCGTGTAAATATTGTGCTGCTTAGCTCGAATTCGATCGTGTAATGCGGCCAGCTGGTCATTTGTAGTTGGGGCCAGCACCAAGCTTTCAATTATTGAAAAATCGTTGTTCAGCGGGCTTAAATGTCGTTGAATAAGGTGCTTGCTCTTAACTCTTAACGCCACGCCAAGGGTTAAATTTGAACTCACACGTTGCCCAAGTACCAATTTTCTGGATTCATCATTGTTATAGCACGCCGTAAATAAAATTCACGAGATTTGCCAGGCCAGGGGAGGTTACAAACCACTAGGCCGCACCGTTTTCTGCGATAAGCCATCGGGACAGCGGGCTTACGCTGCAATTTTCCACCGTTCGACCCCCTTTCTTTGCAAACTATTATTAGAACTTTATAGCATCCATATATAGTATTATAGTCGCGACGAAGGCCATTTTTATCATTGGTATGCATCTTGTTTCTTCTTTAAGCTTTTCATCAGGCGATAGAGTTGAAAATTAGGTATTATATCAGGAAATTACACATTTAGATTTGCCCGGATTTTGGCGCTTCTTCGATTGATCCTGCCGTTTCTCAGGACGCAGCCAAATTGCATCTTGATTTTCACTAATTCCCAGGGTTTGGAACAATTCGTCAACGTCATCATCGGGTGCACACAGCCTTGAAGTCGACGCTGCAGCCCCAAGTTCTGCCAAGCGGCGATCAAGGACTCGATGGAGCGTCCGAGCATTTGCGCCATATGCGCGGCTATCAGGGATGGAAGGCCACCAGCGTGAACTCGAAGGCTGGTCGGATACGGTAGGTGAAACGGTCCTGCTGAAAGGAATCACAGCCACATGGTTTGCCCTCGTTCCATCGTCCCTGGCCACGATATCGCTTCGGGGAATTGACTGACTAGGATCGCGAGTAGCAATTCCAGAACTTTGTTTGTCATACGCTTCAGAAAATAATTCCGGTTCCGAAAGCTCCTTGACGCTCCTCAAAGCACCAGTAAGAGTTTTCTCGGGTCTGCTGCTCACTGACATCCTCATATCACCCTCGTATTCCTTAAACGAAACGGTGCCCCGCACGAGGTTGCGGGAGCGTTTTTTCGACTTTTTGACTTTTGGTCTTGTTTGCCACATCGAAAAACCGGCCGCCGTCTGGGCCTTTTCCCTGAATCGTTTACGCGCAGCACCACATCTTTCCTGGGGAGAGCCTTTGTATATCAGAGGGCGGCCTGTTCTTTTCCAAGTAGTTGATGGTTCGTTTGGCTCGAGTTGGCGGACCGCCTCGGAGTTATCTGGACTCTAAAAATGCATCAGTTAACAGGTTAGAAGCTTTGTTAATAACTTGAACTTTTGGAAGTCATTGTTACAGACGCACAGAAATGCCTGGCGAAAGGGGGACAATCATTAATTCTAAACTCATTACTTCTAAACCGACTACTTCTAAAATCGTTACTTCTAAAATCATTCACTTCTATAATAAAATGATCACTTTCAAAATCATTATTTCTAAATCGTTTACTTGCAAAATCATTACTTCTAAAAGTTATCACGCTTAAAAGTTTTGGTGTCGATTTGTGCATAAACATTGCACATGTTGCCGAAAAATTGATAATTTTAGGTGCCGTAAGGACTTTAGAAGTAACGCTCTTAGAAGTAATGATTTTTAGAAGTAATGACTTTTAGAAGTAATGATTTTAGACGTAATGGCTTCTAGAATTAATGATTAGTCATTTTAACAGTAATGAGCTGAGAAGCATTAATTTTAGCAGTAATCGGTTTAGAAGTAATGGTTTTGAAAGCGATCCTTTTAGAAGTAATGTTTTTAGAAGTTAGAAGTTAGTCATTGAATTTGGCCCGATTGAAGCGGACGATTTGCATGGCAATTCCCGAGTAGTTTGCAAGCTCAAAGCGCGTGTAAAGGGTTGCAACTGACGGCAATATAATTTTGATACTTGTGTTTTGGCTTCGGCTAAACAGTAAAATGCGTCTCTCCAAGGGCTACCAGATGACAATGCATAGCTAGACAGGAAAATACCGCTGCGCGAAGGTTCAAAAACCTAATGGCTCTAGCTTTTTGATACGCACTGTATAAAGCCCTCCCACAAAAAGGGTTCAATTTTCGGGCCGCGACTCAATTTTTTGCACTTCGGTGACCTTTTTTAATATCAAGCCTAAATAGAAACTTGCCACCTCCAGCCGGTCCAGTTCCGGTCTTTCGCCAGGTTGTGCTTCACTTTCCGCAATGGTACAACGATTGGCAGCCCGCTCCGCAAATGGGTCGAGTTGGCGAACGACTTCGGAGTATCCCTAAAACGCTTGAAATTCATGGTTTGGACTTTTGGCTTCAGAAAGCTGTGGGTAAGTTGCAAAGATCTCACGGGAAAACGCCTAAATCATTCAAAATTCCGACAGCCGCAACTAGATTTTTAAACGCCATTTATGGGTAAAACGACCGGAAATATCACATTTTTGCGGTTGGGGTTTTGGCCTGTCGAAATTTTTGCTGAAATTTAGACTTCACCTCCAAGCGCGCAATTTCCTGCGCGGCAACAGCGGGGCTGTCCACTTTTCTGACCAGGTGCTTGAATTGATCGAGGTAGAATTTATTCTCCATCTCCAGCCGCAGTACGCGCGTCACCGCTTCGCGCCGCTCTCTTGCGGCTGTATTTCGCACTTCGTCAAGTTGTCGATAGAAATGGTCCACGCTCAGGTCCACCATGTACTATAATCAACGTCGATATAAATTAATAAGAAGTATGACTTTAAGGAGTAAGGAGTTTAAGGAGTCTAAATTTTATCACGTCGTACCGACACGTGGGTAAAAAGAATTTTTAGAATCTCGAAATTGTCATATTATGAATCAACAATAAGAGCTGAAGGAATCGCACGCCTACCCCCTGCATCCAGCCCATAACAATTTCAAGTTTATGAAAATTCGAAATTCGAGATCGTGAAAACACGAGCATTTGGAATGCTAGATTCTGAAAATTCAAAATTCTGAAAGTCAAGATTCGAATTTTCGGGATTCAGAACGCGATTCTGATTGCCGAGATTCTGATAGATTCCGATAAAACAACCTTTTCAATCCCATATACGCACGATTGCTGAATCTCAAGGATTATCGTCGGAAGCGGATAGCGTTGATGACATAGGTCGGTAATCGTGTAAATACTGCGTCCCTTGGCCCGGATTCGATCATGAAGCGCGGCCAGCGCATCGACAGTCGTCGGGGCCAATACCAAACTTTCAATGATCGAAAAATCGTTGTTGAGCGGTCTGGAGCGCACTAGCTTTAGAAACATTTCCAAATTATTAAAATCACAAAGCAAAGCAACTTACACGTTGCCCAACGACCAGTTGTCTGGGTTCATTTCGCCGCTAGAAACCCGTATTTGGAGTGCAACCGCTTTGCTAGGCTAGGACGAACCCCTGGCCACAAACCTCCGTGTCGCAGCCTTTTTTTGCGATAAGCCACCTGAAATGGAATCAATAAAGCAGGCGGCAACCAGATGCTTTTTGGACAGCAGGCTAAGGCTTTTTTCGGAATGCCGATTGTTTTTTTTCTGTAAGATCGATAAATCACCTTTGAATAAATGCTTTATTGTATACATATTGTACTACAACGTTTGTGCGGACCAGGCTTAGGAAATTGTGCAGCAAGCTTTTTTCTGTTTCTGCAGTTTCCTCTTAGCCTCTAGCTCCTTTTGTTGGCGCTTCCAGGCAGCATCTCGACTTTCTGTTACGCCCATGGTTTGGAATAATTCGGCGATATCGTCCAGTGGCTTCTGAGGCTTTGAAGATGAAGCGGGGATTGCCCGCTTCCGGAAATGATCCTTTGAAGCTGGCGGCGAGGTTGGTTGGGGGGGCTTCAGGATTCGAAGGCGTGCCCGCATCGATGGTAGGGTCTTGCTCAGCGCCGGATGTGTTTGGGGCTGGTTCAGGGACTAGATTCTGGAGTTGAACCGGAGCATCTGTGTCGTTTTCTTGAGGCGCTTGAGCACCAGGTGGAAGCACAAAGCGCCTACGAATCATGGGGCGACGGCCGGCCGCAGGCGGGAGATTTTGTTGGTTTAGTCCAGGCACCGGCGCTAGCGGCCCTGCGTCCATCTGTCCGATGAAGCCCTGAAAGGCTCATGTTGGTTAAGTTTTGCACGTAAAAATATTAAAGGTCGTTTTTGTCAAACGTTAAAAACTACCCACCTCCAACTGCGCGACCCGGTTCGCATCCAAATGCGGCTGGCTTTCCTGCAGCAACGCCTTGAAATGGTTGAGCAGAGTAAGTTTTTGTCTCTCGGCCCATTCAACCCGCTGGTGCGCCGCCTCCAAATGCTGTCGGATTTCGCGGAAACTCAGGTCGACCACCACCTAAAAATAAAGCTTTCCTTTTGGCAATAATCGCTTATCTTTTCTCGGAAATAGGATAACGGGGGTATATTTTTGGCGTTTTGAATATTTTCGATATTTTGAAAACGCGATGTTATAGAGGGCCAAAAAAATCAAGGCATAGTTTTTTAATAGCCCATAAAAAACGTATTTTAAAATATTTTTATTATGAAAAACCTGCTGCGGTTCCTCGGTCGTCATTCCGCGCCACATCAAGGCGATGATGGCCGCAAACCCGCGCTCGGCGAACACATCCCGAAACGTGAGCACTGGCAGGTTGTTGGCGAGGACTTGACGCCGAAAGTTTTCCGCGGCTTCCGGTGTCGTTGGGGGCAATACATGGCTTACCTCGATAAGATAGTCTGGGTGTGTTGGACTGAAAAGTAGAGACAATTAAGAGGCGTTAGTAAAGAAGAATTAACTCCGATAGGTATAGACGGTTAGGAAAAGCGTGGAAGTAACTAATAAGTTTTTTACAGCGTTTTGTACAAATGATAATCAGTGACAACGCCAAGAAAACCAGAAAATAAGTAAAACTTACAGTTTACCAAGATCCATAAGTATCGCTTCGTAAAGTAAGTGCCAATTTTTTTGAGAAGTACACGGGAATTCGTCTACGACTAATTTCAGATAACGGCTTCCTGATAAGAGCGTGTTCTTTGAATCAATAGATGAGTGCGACGGGTCGTTGAGTATCTCGACCACTGCTTTTTGTGCCTCCAGGTTCTCAGGAACCGCATAAACGTTACAGCAAAAATTTACAGAACTTCACGAAATGGTGCATCGATGGTTGCCGTGATAAATTCCGCTCAAATTATCTCCAGAGGCTTGTATATACTCCAAAAATCCGATAGAGTCGATGCCGAACTCCTTGCACTTGATGAAGTCGCATTTGGAAAGTTCCTTCTTGGAGATTTTTCCATCAGGGCCAAGCCATTTGATGAGAAGGGCAGTTACTTCTGAAAATGAACGTCTTGCACTGTATCTCTCTCCTCTCTCTCTCTCTCTCTCTCTCTCTCTCTCTCTCTCTCGCTCCGTCTCTTACCATTAACCAACTCATCGCTCTGATCAGCTTGGTGTTGCTCCCAATACTCGATGAGCTCTTGTTTCTTGTTGCAATGGTTACAGCAGCCATGTCCATCTCCATTCTGCTCTCCCATATAGGGCAATATATCCTCGCTTAGGATTCCGAACATGTCGAAAAGGTGGCAGCCCGACGAGCCGCTTTTCATCGATAGTGTTTCGTGACTTCGGTTTTTGTAGAGATGACGGGGGTCCTGAAAGATGAAAATGTTAACTAGGGAGAGAGAGAGAGAGAGAGAGAGAGAGAGAGAGAGAAGAGAAGGTGAGAGAAACAAAATTAAAACCCTTACCGGCGATAGCGAGCGGCCAATTTCATATTCCTTCTGATTTTTCAGGAGCTTTTCTAGGTCTTGCATGCTCCCGCGCAGGAAAGCTCGTCTATTCTTCGATTCCTCTTCCTCATCTTTAGCCTTATTTTGATGTTGCATGAGGTACAGCTGGACGTCTCCAAGTAGCCATGGCAGAGAGAAAATGAACATTTTCTGAACAAGAACCTTTTCAAAAAAAGGATGGCAGTAAAAAGCAGTAAAGCAGCATACCGGCAAGTCAATTAAGCTCCAAATATAACACACCTTCTCATCTCCATGCCGAATAGCCGCAAAAAGCCTGGGCATCATCATCGTATCAGCCATTTCCATCGCCTTTCCAATGGTATACACGCGGAACCTGGTCATTGGAAGACGCTTCATCGAGTCTAGCTCTTGCGACAATGTGTCGCATTTCAGCAGCCCAACTGTCAACAGGCGCGCGTAGTCGTCAAGTGCTCTGTATACGTGGGCATACATCGCTTATTAAGTCGAATTCGGATTTTTCGATTGAGAGTTTTAGATGCAGGAAGATAGCTTGGAGCACGAACCACGAAATCGCATGAGCACGATCAATGTACTTTTAGGTCGGTGAAAAACGGTTTAACCCACATGCCCTTCATCCCAAACCAGCAACAGGTCATCCAAGTCCACAAACAAATATTAAAAAAAGGTTAGCTGTAAAGCCACTAGCGATTCAATAAATTGATTGTTCTAAAAATGAGGCGCTGTGGCAAAATCGGGTGCATTTTAATGAGCTTCCTTGCATTCTGGACGACAGAAAAAATTTATTCTGCACGTATTCGACAGACGTAGTTTTATGTGTAAAGGCAAAGAGCTAGAGAGAGAGAGCGAGATAGAGAGAGAGAGATGAGAGAGAGAGAGAGAGCGAGAGAAAAAAGGGAGGTGAGAGAGAGCAGGTTTCAGAGAGCGAAAGAGAGCACGAGCGAAAGAGTGGGAGAAAGTGAGAGCGACCAAGATTAAGAGCGAGGCAGCGAGTGATAGCGAGCGAAAGGAAGAGAGCACTAGGTAGAGTTCATGTTCTTCTCTTGCGCCTTCTGGATCATGTAGGCGATCACTTTGCGCAGCTTCTTCGGATCCGACTTGACCGGAACCTTTGGGTTAAACATGTTGCTGATGCCCGAAATGATGGAAGCCAAGGGATCGACCTCGCGGTGACGTGCTTGACCAACCACCAGGTTGCTTGAAAACCCAAGCCCCATCGTCCCATCAAAGAGCCCGCCAAATGCTCCAACTGGCTCCGGGTTTTGTAAGTATCGATTGGGGTCGAAGAACTCATGACCAAGCATCTGTTGAAATTCAAGAAGGCACGGCATGGTGACGTCGTCGAAGTTCTGGCCCATTCCGAGGTACTCGTAGAGATCCGTGTTTTCGGAGATTGCCGGGAGGCCGTCGTCTGAAACGTGCAATATTCGGCTATTCTTAATATCGTAAATATCACTTCCTTGGTAACATGGGATTATCTGTACTAACCCTGTGCCGCCTGAACAGCTCCAACGAGTACGATAGCAGCCTTTTTCAGCTCCTCGTGTTCAATAACCATATGATCGGAATAAGCACCCAAATATGCAACCATCTTGCGAACGTCAGAATCTATGGGGCAAGCAGCCCCACATATCCTGACCCTTTCTTTGTAGCATTCCAGCTCGAGCTTATAGAGATTGGCGAGATCCTTGTAGTACTTTAACGGGTCCTTCAGCTGCCTAGAAAGACAATAAAACGTTGGGGTAATTTAGACATTTCTGACGCGCTACTAATACACTACTTAGGTTTAGAAGGCGGTCCTGGCATAATATAACCCTATATAATTATTTATAGAAATGCTAAATGCCCGAAAATGACGAATTAAGGTTTTTTCATCTCATCAAATGCTACGCGTTAATTAATGTTGGCATTTCGTTCCACCTTAAACCTATGGCGTTATTAAATATAACTTACTCGCTCATCCTAGTTAAGTAGCTTATCGAGAATTATAGTAGGTAAGCTGAGAAGCTGTACCAGTGGATCCCCAACATTGATAAGACATTGACAAGCGGGCACTCGGCCGTCCTGTTTTTCTCGCGCCAGAAAATGGCTTGGGATCAATAGGTGGCAACATCCTACCTTAACCTTCATTTAAGGTATACAACATAGACAAAATATATTTAAAAAATGATTCAAAATTTATCAAAAGCATTCCGAACCAAAAATTATTCAGTGCGATTTAGGCAGAAACGAAAGGCAATTTATTCAGCCATCGATGAAAAACGTTTGATCATTTTCAAAAATTCCTGTAGTTTAATTTTCATAAAAATGTACAGGTATGCAACGAATAAAATAGGTGTTATTTGTACTTTTAAGGCAGTAGTCAATGAATTCCAATCCTTCTCGTCAGCCGCCTTATGCGAAAGTTCACCGGGATCGCTTCTTGTTGGTTTTCTGAAGATTTTAGTATCGTAGCCGACGGATTGTATAGTATTTCTGATCCATTCTTTGGCCCGGGATCAGCTGGTGCGACATTTTCGATGCTAAGGTTTTCAAAATCTGCAGAAATCGAAACAATATCGACAGGCGAGCCGAAATCGCCATTCGGGCGCATCCTGAATCCGCGTCTTCCCGGAGACGGAGGCGTTCGAGGGGTGGTCGCTGGCCCTGGTGCATTGACAGGAGGATCGTTTTCGGGCTCAGGATCCAGATTCGATTCGGTGAATTGGCAGCCGAGTGTCGCTTCGAGGTCCTGCTGAAGGACTAGCATTGTATCAGGGTCCAAATCAAAGTCGTACAACGCCAAATCGGTGTCATCAGAGATCGGGTCCGGGATGGTAGCTAAAAAAAATTATGTATTAATAGAATCTGTACGTCGTAACGCAAAAATTTTCGCAAACCATATTTCCTAACTCTCCATTGATTTTAACGTTAAAATAAGGCCGCCTATATACCTGATGGTGTTGCAGCGGAAGTGGACGGAAGCAGCGAGGAATTTAGGAGCTGCTCCCGGATGGCCATCATAAAGTCCGAATAGCCGCGCAGGAAATCAACCATCTCGGTGACGTGCGGATTTCCGGGGCACGCCAATGCGCAATTCCGGACTTGCGTCTTATAGGCTTTCAGTTCGGAGAGGTAGAGCCCGGCGAGTTGCTTGTAGTAGCTCGGCGGCTCGGTGTTGTGCCTGCAAAGTCAAGTAAAAAAAATTTGCTAATTTTAATAGCTCCGCGATCTCTTATCTAAATTATATCGATTCAGGTTTCATTCAAAATACCGTAACTAATAATGTCGAAATTCATAATATCGAATTTTCATGGCGCCGAAATGCCATATTGTCAAAATTGAGACTGCCGAAATTTACATAGGCGGATTTTCAGGAAAGATCGAAATCGAATCTTATGCATAAAACGGCATTTCGGCGTTATGAAATTTCGACATGTTTTTCGATATTATGATAGCAAATCTATCGCTACTAGTCAAAAATTACTTACGGAGGCATCGCCAAGGTGTGAAAGTGGACGCGTGAAAAAAGTGCCACAAAAACGGTCAACAGGCGCATAGAGGAACTTGTGATAACGGGGAGCCTTGGGAGACCGGTGTGGCTAGAATATTTATTGAGCCTTGAACCCTGATAATCAGGCCTCGTAATTTCCGAATCAGGCTTGATGAATCATCCTATAGGCGGAATTCCCCTATTTTCAAAGGCGCCGCAACAGCCTCGACCCTTGGCCTGCGGTGACTCGTGAATTCCGATGAGACACAAATCTGAATGTGGGCTGAACTTTAGCGAATTTGCGGCATGGCGTAAGGGCTTATCAAAACGGACGGACCTACGGATTCAGCAATTAAGTTACTCATAGAATCCCTACTGATCTGCCATGCCCGCGACAAGCAACGCGTGAGGCATCACCTCGCAACTAATTACGTCATGAATTGACAATTGCTGTTCGTTGCGTTGTGTTGCGTGGCAAAAAGGATAAAATTCCCGCAATTAAAATCTTATTAAAGCCACAACCACGTTCTTCAGCAACATTCCTTTCCACGTCTAAAGTTAAAAATTCCTAATCATAAAAGAGCTCCATCTCCTGTTCCGGTATCTCGGGTCATGCCCCAGTTGCCTTAAGACCCAACCACAACCTATTACACACCAGACACTGGCCGTGTGTTTCTTGGGTCGCCAGTTTGGATCGAAAGGTTGATCGGGAAGGGAGGCGGTTTGAGGCGGAAACGAAACGATAGAGAAAAAACTGATCACGCCAGTTTGAGCGCCAGCTGCTGAAAGGTCAAATACCCTTGCTTTTTTAACCGTTTAAATCTTATATCAAAAAATCATTGTCTCCTTGAATTTAACATGATAATTTACATTTTATAAGGTTTTTAAGGAACTTAGGAGAGTGATTTTTCATTTATCTTCATTTGCAAATGTCACAGAACTGATAACAAATGGCCCGATCGCGCGATCCCCCCAATTTCTCAGGGCCTACAGTGTTTTTCTGCGGATTTCCCTGTCATTTCCATTTTATCGCTATCAGATTTGATTGATCTTTTTTTGGCCAAGTGATCCTTCCACTTTCTCGTTCTCTCCCTCTCTTGCTCCCTCTTTTCCGATCCAGACCGTGGTGTCGTATAAACGTTGCGCACCTTGCCAAGGTCATTCATACATCGCAGCACTGTTTGAAAAGCTTTTGTTGAAGCTGCCCGGAGGGAACTTTGGAAAGGGTTTTTGACTGAAAGGATGGGGAGCAAACAGTGACTCGTGTTGGTTTTTAAAGTTCAGTGTCCAGGAGAGCAACAGCAAAAAATTCTTTGCCTTTTTCCATGCAAAATTCTCTTTCAGCAGTTCGACTAATTTCACGATTACCGTCCGTTTAGCTTTAGGCTTCGGCTCAGGTTTAGCCTTGGGTTTAGCATAGGGCTAGGCTTACCTTATTATGTTTAGCTTAGGCTTAAGCGTAGCTCAGACTAGGCTTAGCTTAGGCTTACGCTTCAACTTTCGGTTTGGGGTCGGGCTTAGCTTAGGCTTAGGTTCAGCTTAGGCTCGGGCTTCGTTTTGTTTAGGCCAAAGCTTAGGCTCACGCTTGGGTTCAGGTTTAGGTTTAGGTTAGGCTTAGGTTTCGGCTTAGGCTTAGGATACCTTCCGATACCTTTATCACACTTATCCACAGTTCTCCCGATATTTTAGTTGCAACTAACCTCCAACACCAACTTCAAAGTTGCCCAAAACCGACCCACGCCCGACTTGAATCCACTAGTTGTTTGGTCGCGGTCATTGGGGTCGACGCCACGGCATCGTGGCGCGCAAATCGGAGCCCGGGGAAATTTTTCAAAATTCCCCCTCCAAATCGCCCCATCAATCAGGGCGGCCACGGAAACTGGCGGAAGATTGGCGATACTCCCCGTTTGGGGCACGGTGCGAAGATTGATACCTCGAGATAGTTTGTGAAGAAATAGGAAAAATGGGTCCGAGGGTCGCCGCGAACGGTGGCAGAGATCCTCGGCTAATTTTCAGCGCCATGTGCGCGCCGGGAGCCGCCCATTTTGGTGTGGTGAGATGTGATATGATTTCCCGGCCTGGGGTGCGTCTGCAGGGCACTTATCAGGCTCGGATATTTTGGTTTTTGTTTCGCATTCGTCGGGGTATAGCGCCGGCTTACGCTCAGGCTTACGCTTAGGCCTACGCTTAGGCTTACGCAGGGGCGCGATTAGGTTAGGTTAGGCAGGTCAGGTCATGGATTAGCATTTTCTTTCGATTCTCCAAAGATCTCCGCTAGTTTTGTCCAGAATTGCCCCGGGTGTTTAACAACTTATTGCAGTTTATTTTGTGCATTTTTCGAACTTAATTAATTCTGCTCGCTTACCTTGAGAGCAGAAGCTGCAGGTTCGTGATTTTCATGAATTCAAAGCGCAACCTTTGTTTGGCAGAAGTAGCTTTTCAACCGAGACAAAAAACCTTTGTTAACTCCGAAAAATTTTTCTAATACCATTATTTTCGGAAGTACGACTCATTTTCAGGCCAAATTCGTAAATGATCCGCTAGAAATATAGCCGAACGCTATTTTGAAAACGTAGCTATTTTGCGCGCACCAACCAAAGATACAGTGAAAAAGTTTCCGGTCCGTCGCGCCGTATTATTCAAATCCCTCTCCCGGCCAGCATCCAAATCGTGGCGACCACAGGGCTCGGTTTTTAAGCCGGAATTCAACAGGATTGAAATTCTCTGCCACCAGTTATTTTACCCCTTTCCATTCTGATACTCTCGCACCCGGGGCGTCCTATAAAAATGATGCGAGAGTTGGAGCCGATTTCCATTGGGTTTAGTGATGGGACTGGTTTTCGGGCTTTGCCTACAGTTTTGGCGGTCAAGGGAAAAATTCAACGTAATGTTTTCGTGAAAAAAATGCATTTTTATTAGCTTACAAATACCAAAAAAGTCATTCTGATGCGTTGTTATCGCAAACATCTGGAATTTTCTCGATTTTTCGAAGTTTCCGAGCCAAATTTTT